GATGTTTTAAAAACCACTTTACATACAAGATTAGGCCATGAATACAAATCCGCAATCTTTTAAGATTACGTTATAATAAGGGCCTGAAGGGTTTTTAATTGAGAAAGTTGGTTTATGCTCTGTTTGTCACTTTGTGCTGTTAAGTAATAATAAAAAAAAACATTTTAGACTTGATCATTATATCAGGAAATCACCACATATGTTTTGCGGTAATATTAAATAATAAGTATTTTAGTCTATCTTTTTTTGTTAGAAATTTTTAAGTGTCTCAGTTTTAAGCTAAAACATTTGTCCACACAAAAAACGCTATGAAGTACTACATAGTACATTAGGATACATTTAATCAAATGTTACAGTTTAAAAAAAAATATCACTTTTTAATTATAACTGTTGGCCTTAAGGGCTCTAGGTGTTGCTCGTAGACCAATGCTGCTCTCTTGTGGGACAAGAAGGAAAGCTACAGGATCACTGATTTCATCCAGAGATGAGAATACTCGTTTTTTGTGCTAACATAATTTAGTATTACACTTTGGCTTGATACATTTATATAATATATTTGATACATCATCATGGTTTTACAGCTGCTTAATGTAGCAGAGTGTATCCACTTTATGCTGTCTCCAAACATGCTCTACTGTACAGGACTTTTTACTCTCACTCATGGGTAAGGATGTCCATAGCTAGTTTAAGGTACCTTTTCACCCTATAAAGATCCGAAAAAAGTAGATCTAAAAACTCCACCCATCACATTACAAAGTTCAAGTGGCGCATCCTGGTTACTGGGCACCAGTGGCACGAATTTACCATCCTATGTGAGGTACTTCTTGGAAATGTTTGTCCATCTCGCCACATCACGTCCTTTACTTGTCCTTTTCAATCCTTCTTGGAGGCCGGAGTGCCATTAGATTATCAGTAAAGTCGAACCAAATTATAGGAATGCTTTTTATTTGTAACTTTCCATTATTTATTGTAGAAGCATGTTTTTTTTTCCACATGTCTCATGTCTCTACTTTTTGCATCATCAGATTTTGTATCCTGAAATTAATCAACAGGTTAAAACTAAGTAATGGTAGCTTTTCCGTCAAAATATCTAAATAGTAAAATATAAGTAGTGTACTTTCTTAAAAAAAATGTTAAAAGTATCTCACAATGAAACAGAATTATCTGCCTAAGTCATAATAATGAGGTAATATCTCATAGTAATGGATAGTTGAGTCCTAGTTATAGGAGATACAAGTTTTTTTTTTTTTTTTTTATCAGTTTGGTGGCAATGGGCTTTTATAGTCAACCCCTATTGCCTCCCACCCTTTATGTAGGTCCACTGCTGTCAGTTCTCCTTTAGGGGGCAGTATGTGCTCAAAAAACAGCATGTTGTTACGCTTGTAGAGTTGGATAATTGATTGATATATAAATCAATATATAATTTTAATGGGATGTTAGGAAGTCCAGATCATGCATAATTTAGCCTTTACATGCACATTCTATGTTTTTATGTTTCATTGCTGAATAACAAAGAATTATAAACCCTAAAACCCTTTAAAGAAGTTATCTAATGTATAATTGCCCTTTTATTTGCACAGCATATTCCTTCCAGATGGGAAATAATCTAGCTATTAATAGCGTTATTGCAATGGGATGCTGAAAGAGGGCTGCCTTTCTGAACATCAAATTACTTCTCACACAGAGAGTTGCTTTACAGGCATGACTGGACTGAATATAAGCATATCTATCTGCATTATAAAACCCCTACAGCAACAGTTTTGCCCCAAGAAGTACATTTTTTAACTTTTTCTTTCAAAATTTGCAAATTAAAGTTTTAAAGACTATATTGGACATATAATAAGAAGTCTGCAACGTTTGATACTTACAGTCATATGTAGAATGATACAGCTTTGGTCAAATTTTGCTGGTCATACAATATACAGGCTGTACATTTTGCAAAACATTATATCAGAACAAATAACTTGGGGTCAGGAAAAATACTGTTCCAAAGTCAGATTAAAATAAAGTGTTTTTCCTAGTGCTGATGTAAGTTTGAAACAATGAGGAGGCTTTGGCTTTTCTGCAAGTTCACCCTCAACAATAATCAGTTTGAGGTTAAAACTGAATTCGCTTATATCTGTAATTTCACCATCCATCCATCTTCATCCACTTAATCCTTGTCAAGTTCGCGGTGGAGCCGGTGCTTATCTCCGGCAGTCTATGGACGGAAGGTGGGGTACAACCTGGACAGGTTACCAGTCTGCTGCAGGGCAACATAGAGACACACAACCATGCACACATACACACACCTAAGTAGAATTTAGAGGAGCCAACTAATCTATCAGTCATGTTTTTAGACTTTTGGAGGAAGCAGGAGTACCCAGACAGAACCCACGCATGCACGGAAAGAACACTCAAACTCCATGAAAAAAGACCCCAGGCCATGAATCGAACCCAGAACCTTCTTTCTGCAAGGCAACAGTGCTACAAGCTGCAGCACCATGGTGTCTACACACATCTAACATGACTACAAACATAAACATATCTAATATTTGTTTCCCTTTTAAATTATAGATAATGACATCACAGCACAATAGCAATACAGATTAAGTCACTGCATGGTGTTTCTTAACCTGATTGACACTGATATGGGAAACTGTACCTCATCAGTGTCACATTTTCATTGAGGTAGTTGTCATTATCATACAACAGCTTTTCATCTGTGTGTGTGTCAGAAAAAAAGTCTAAAATTCTGATTAAAAAAAAAAACATTAAGAGATTTATAGCACTGTAAATCTGTCTTTGTTTCAGTAAATTTTATACAAAATAATCTTACATATAAATCGAAGAACTTTGTGCTGTCTTATTAGTTAAAATATGAATGTCAAAGAAAAAAGTTAGAAGTGATGGGGGATGTTGTTCCTCTACTGTACCTGCAAATCTACCAGGTTCCTGTAAAATAATAACACAAACAGGGTAAAGACTTGGTATAATCTATAGTTTTTGATTGTTTAGTCACAAATATAAACTCTCTAGTCACATTGCCTATAACACCTAATTTCAGAGACAGGAAGTTTGCCTAAACAACAAGCCCCTGGGAATCACCTTTAATCAACATTTGCCAATTCCAACAGATAGATATGTAGCTTTACATCACTTTTATATTATACAGATGTGAACAGAATTGTTGGCACCCTTCGTTTGATGAAGAAAATACCCACATTCATCCCAGAAATAACTTGAATCTCACAAAAGTAATATTAAATACAAATTCAATGACAAAGTTGAAATGAAAGTCAGACATTGCTTTCCAACCATGCTGAAAGACTAAAAACATAACGTCATAAAGCCTAGTCAAAAAATACTGCATCCCTAAAACAGACTGAAAATAATGTGACCTAAGGGACATGTTAAATCAAGGTGTGTCCTCTAATTGGCAAGTCATGGGTCTTTAACAGGGTAATGACCCAAAACACTCAGCTAAAAACAGCCAAGAATGGCTAAAAGTGTAATAAAAATTGACTATTATAAAGTGACGTCTATAACCCCGGCGTAAATCCTGTTGAGTATCTTTGAAAGCAGCTGAAACATGTCATTTGAAAAAGGCTCCCTTTGAACCTGAGACAACTGGAGCAGTTTGTTTATGAGGAGTGGGCCAAAATATTTGCTTTGAGGCGCAGATATTTCAGTTTAGAGTGCTATCATTGATGCCCAGGACTGTTTCATGAGATTATTTTTTTAGATCATTCTCTAAAACATGGCTGAAAAGCAATATCTAAACTTAATTTGGTCCATTCCATTTTCATAGAATTTATATTTATTATTACAATTTTTTTAGCTTCAAGATATTTCTGTGACTATTGTGGGTTTTCTTTCTTTGAATGAGGGGTATCAACAATTTAGTTCACCTGTGTGGCACTGAATTCATATGAAAATACAGCATTACTGTACATTAATTTCAAATCATTCTGGCTCAAACATGTATATAAATGTACTGTGACTGGCTGGATGTGCTCTCTTCATCCTCTGACACTGAAGTTGGCTCAGAGCTCGTCTGCCTGGCTGTGTGTTTCCTGGACAGGGCCGCCTTTCACAGCTGCTTTTTGCATCTCTGCTTCTGTCTCCTTGAACCCCAGTCGGCAGATGGCCGTTCACACTGAGCCTGGTTCTGCTGGAGGTTTCTTCCTGTTAAAAGAGAGTTTTTCCTCTCCACTGTCGCTACAAGCATGCTTAGTGTGAGGGATTGCATCGGGGTCAACGAGTCTATGCAATCAATTGGTTTTCCTTAGATAGAAAACTTTGAATCAATTTGACTGGATAATCTGGTGAACTGTAGAGCACCTTGAGATGATGTGTTGTGAATTGGTGCTATATAAATAAAATGAATTGAAATATTGTCCCAAAAGTTAGAACATTTCTTTTTTAGAAAAAAAATCCTGTCTTAAAATCTGTGTTTTTTTCTCGTTATTTTACTGTATGCAGTTAGTTATACGTCAGCCTGTACACCTGAATTCGGCCAATCACATATCAGAGGTCATCTGTCAATTAAATTTTTTGATTCATATGTCGCAAAAGGCAAATCATAGGAAGCCTAAAATGAAACATTAAAGTGTAATGGTGATAATTGGTTAAACTGTAAATGGGTCCCTTAAAAAAATGGGCCCAAGGCCACATCAAAGGTTAGACAGCCTCTGATTTTACTCCTCAAGCTCTGTTGAAAGGTGTATAAATACAGCGCGCTTTCAAAATAAGATACTTTGGGCAGATTATGTCTCCTGTCACTGTATTTACGCGCAAAGGGGGGAGTTTTATATGAATGTATGATCTTATCTTCAGCAGCACAGCTAACTTAGCAGCCTTTTTAAATCCACCTTGATATGAAATCAAAATGTATCATAGTCGGTAGTGGATGGGAGTGACGCCGCTTCACTCTTTACGTCGCACAGATCCTATTTTTTCTATTTATATATTTATTTTCAGCCCTCATCTCTCTCCACTGTACGATAATCGAGGAGGGGCTTGCTGCGTGTAGGAGGCAGGCAGGCAAACCGCGCTGCTGACCCGCTTGCAGAGAGCGTGTCGCCTCGCCTACATCCCAGCCAGCTCGCATGCTGTAAGGAGTGAGAGCCGTCAGGTAGGATGTTCTGGATGTTTGTTTTCCTCTAAGATGCTCCTCAGCGTCCCGTTTGAACCCTGGCGTTTGTCTTAATGAAAGGCGCTCCTCCTGCCTGCCGGAGAGGTCTGGGGAGGCGCACCGCTCGGCGTTGGCTCAGCAGAAGCGCTGACAGCTTTTCATTTTTTAACAGCTTGCAGACAACCTTTTCAACCCATCACTGAGATGTTTCCCAACTCCTTCTTCTTTCTCAGTCGATATCGGTCGATCTGCCTCATCTGAGGCGTTTGGAAAAGCCTTCCAAGTATTTTTTTTTTTTTATATTTATTTATTTATTTTTCGCTAAATATGTTCTTGGCTGCTTTTGACATTGACAGATAAGATAGGTAAGAGGATGGATGTTTAATTAACTTGTCTGATAAATATTTGGCTTTTGGTTTAAATAAAGCTTTAGCCTCAGCATCCTTGCGCCTCTCTGCACGGAAATGTGGATGCTGTACAGTAACTCGGACTTGACCTGAATGTTATCTGGATCAGCTCAACATCAAAGCTGACATTGACGTGTGTGAGATTAGTGGCCCTGCAGGATATAACCCTCATCATTTAATGCTGACTTATCCAAAATATGCAAGGATTTTAGTTGGGTTATAAAATGATTAATTTTGGCAATGTATTGCATAAAGATAAATGATTCTTTTGGATGACATTTGCATGTTTGCAGAGGTCGGAGAGCACACTCCAGATGCCAGCCTGTAGGAAGGTTGTGTATCCTCTGATTAGAGGCCTCTGTATTTACACAGAGGCTCATATGGTGTGTGAGGATGTGTTTCAGGGCTTTGATGTTTGGTGATTTCGCACAGGTACAGGAGAGTAAATGTTATCTCTCTTACACTGGGGTGAAGAGGCCAGGGCAGAAAATGTACTTATCCATTTTACTGGGTGAATGTTTCTTAACATAAAACTGCTAATCACCTGGCTGACAGTTGAGGCAATTTGTAATTAAGATGTGGTGAAAATGTCTTGCTGGGGTTTAAACCTGGCATCTCAATGAGGAGGAAAAAGAGGCCAAGAGTGAATGTTTAATGGTGGCAGACGAATTGGTCTTAGTGTTTAAGAAACTGATTATCCGCTGGGAATTTTCACCCACAACCCTGAATTTTACTGTATGATTTGGTTGAATTGTCTCTCTAAAGTACCTTGAGATCACATGTGTTGTGAATTGGCACTATATAAATAAACTGAACTGAATTAAATTGAGCCGAACCATCAAAGAATGTGGAATACCATCTTTAGATGCATAATATCTGACAGAAAAAACATGAAGACCACACCTAAAGTAGGATTAGGAAGTAAACTCTCAGCAGGAATGTATTTCAAAAGATTAGATATTGTCTCCTGGATTTAAAAGTCTCTATTTCGGCTGACAT